CCATGGCCTACAAGCCCCGAGGGCTGGGAGCTCCCTGCAGGCCCGCGGAGCTCACTGCCTGAGCTGTAAGAAGGGCTTCCCGATCTTGCACTGACACCCGGGTCCCTGTACCCCCATCCTAGTGATCCCGGCCACACAGGGGTCACACAGAAGTCTCCCCTCCCCTGACCAAACCCAGCCTGGTTCCACTCCCCGCCCCCCTCTTCATGCTGGCCAGGGCCCCTTCCCTGAATGGGTCTTCCAGGTGGGGCCAGAGAGGCAGAGGAAGCAGGCCGACACCCGCTTGCTCCCATGGTCTATACCAGAGGTCCTCAAACTTTTTAAACAGGGGGCCAGTTCACTGTCCCTCAGACATTCCACGCATGCGCATTGCGGGCCCAGGACGAGTCGGCTGCTAAGCAGGACAGGCAGCGGCGGCAAAAACACCCGGCGGGCCGGATAAATGTTTTCGGTGGGCCGCATGTGGCCCGCGGGCCGTAGTTTGAGGACGCCTGGTCTATACTTTGCAAAGTGCTGCCACATAAATTATAGCACCTGACCTCACCCTTCCTGTGAGGGGCAGATCACCATCTGCCTCACAGATGAGGAAACTGAGGACCAGGACATCACGCGTCTCACCCAGGGGTCTGCAGCTTCACCTACTCACCAAGGGCTGGTGGCCAAGATCTTTCTCCTCTAGAACCTCAACTTGCCCTTCTGTAACCCGGGTGGGAGGTTAGTAACATTGGCTGTATGTGTGATAGAGACAGCACTAAATGAGATCACTTTATAACCATCAAGAGTTGTTGCTGTGTGACCTTTAGCAAGTCACTTAACCTCTCTGTGCCTCAATTTTCTCCTCTGTAAAACTGGGCTAATAAAAGGACCCACTTGATAGGGTTGTTGGGAAGAGTAAATAAGCTAATATACGAAAAATTGTTAAGACAGTGCCTGGTACATGAAAAGCAAAGTGCTGGCCAGTATTAATATCATATATTATTACCATTAGTGCTATATAGGGCTGGGGGCAGGCTGGGAGCAGGGGAGCCAGCTGAGACCCGAACCACCCCTGCAACATTCTCTCGGTCCCCCTTGCTGTGATCCTATCAGTGCCCTGCCCGCCTCTGCTGTTCCCCCTCCCATGGGTCCTGGCTCAGCCCCGTGTGGGTGAAGGAGCAGGGAAGCTGTCAAGACGACTCCCCTCCACCCTCCACCCTCCTCAGAGGGAAACAAGCAGCAGCTGGGACTAATCGCTCAGGGCCAACCCCACCCCTGCAGTGAGGCAAAGCCCCAAGTGTTTTCCTCTGTGGGGGGCAGGGCGGGAAGGGGGCTCAGCTGGAGCCTGACAGAAAGCAGATGTGGCAGGGGAGGGAGGAGCGGGGAGGAGGAGGGTTCTCAGGAGATGGCTGCCCCAGAGGTCAGAGCTCAGGGGGCAGGAGAAATAAAGCAGCCCCTCTCCACCACCCCACCGGGGCCAGGGGCAGGACGCCAAACCCTCCTCTCAGCTCTTCAAAAGCTCCTGACACCACCCCTCACCCTCGGCCGGGTCTGCAGCCTCCCTGAGGGAGGAGACCCTTGTGGCAGGAGATGGGGGCGGGTGGTGACGGGAGCCCGGTCCTGGGCCCCTTGGTGCTCCAGTTCCGGTCCTGCCTGAGCCTCCGTCTCCCTGCGGCACAGTGAGTGCTCCACAGACAAGGGCTGGATGGCTGGGGAGGGCCTGGGGACAGGGAAGCAGGCCACATGCTCTTGGAAGAGCCTTGCAGGTGGGGCCAGGACTCTGATCCTGGGCACGGAGAGGGGGAAGGGGTCAGGGAGGCTGTGCTCCACTGAGCTTGGCAGGAGAGAAACGAGGAAGTGGATGAGGCACTGCCGGCCTGAGGAAGGTGGTGCCAGCCAGGATGGGCCTGGCATGGAGGGAGGGCTGCTGGGCAATGTAGGGGCAGGGCCTAGGAGGCTGGAGCCGCTGCAGGAAGTGGGTCCCACCTGCCTGGGGGCATCGGTCATGCCTCTGCTTAGGTCACAGAGGGTGTGAAAATCACAAAAAACGAGCCTCCCAGACCCCCAGCACAGACCCCAGCCCCTGCCCACCCGCGCCTATGCAGGAACTGGCCCATTCTGGCTCCCTGGCCCGCCAGCCACGTGACCTGTCCTCCCGGGTCCCCTCTTCCCCACCCAGGCTACTCATCTGCCCCCTGCAGCCCCGAACTTTCTCCCTCTTTTCTACTAACCTTGGGTGAGTCACGTACACCCCTTGCCTCATTTTGCTCCTCTGTAGTTTGGGGAAATAAGAGAGCTGACTCTAGGGGTGGCTGAGAGGACGAACGTATAAAGTACTCGGAGGAGTGCCCGCCACCGCTCGCTGCGGTCACACTCTTCCCAGTGCTGCCTCTCCCGCCACTGAAACGACCTCCTCCCTCCTGACCGGGACCATGGCACTTTGGTCCAGCACGTGGGCCGAGCTGGGGCACAAACTGGGCCTGTGTGCTTCAGGGGAGGGCTCCCGACAGCTCAATAGACAAGGGCAAGTTCAGCTCTGGGCCCCACTTCCATCTGGGGACCCTGGGGACCCCATGTGGCTTCTCAGGACCGTGACTTCCCTGCCTGTGAAATTGGGATGAACAAACCCAGGGAGGGCATGCGGGGGCTTGGCACACGGTACCGGGGTGGCCACGCCCGCGATTCTGATGCCAGTGGCTAACCCTGTCTGACCTGTTCGCTTGGAGAGGAAGCTCCTGGGATGCCTAGCACCCCTGACCTTAACCTTCTTTCAGCGCCTGCACAGACCTGGCGAGAGCCCACGAGCCCCCGAACAGCAGGGCCACGCCCAGGGCTGGGAGCGCGGAGCACAGCCAGGCGAGCCTCTGACCATCAGAACGGTGCGTGTGTTTGTGGCCTGGGCCCAGGCCTTGTCAGGAGTCACCAGGAGAACTCAGGACCGGACGGTCTCCTCCAGACTGCCCACCCCACCCCAGCCCCCGACATGCTCCCAAACACTGTGTGCCCTGTGCCCGCCCGCCCCCTCGGTCACCGGGGCCTCTCCCGCAGCGCCCTTAGGATGTGGGCCTGCCCCTCGGCCACGGCCAGTTTCCAGTCTGTCCGCCTGCGTGTGACTGTGGCTGATGGGACCATGAAAACCTTTGGGGGTGGGGGATGGTGAGCCTGCAAACAGGAAATGGAGGCCAGCACGAGGGTCAGACAATCACAGAGCATTTGGACCACGACACCCTCTCCTCCTTCTTCTAGTAGGACAGGGGCCAAGTTCTCTGCCTGGCCTCCAACGGCCCAGCAGCCCCCCCCTCCAGACTCTGCTCCCCCCCAGCTCCTCCCACGCTCCGTGCCAGCCCTGCCCCCTACTTGCACGTGCTGTCCCCTCACCAGCAGTGCCTGTCCCCTCTGCCACCCCCACCCAGCCCCCTGAGTCCATGACTCTCCACTCCCCATCCCAGCTCAGTCTGACATCACCGCCTCAGGGGGCCTCCCCAAGTGCCCCCAATGCCCGCTCCGCACCCCTCTGCCTCCCTTCCCCTCAGGCCCCTCTGCCTCCGGCTGCCGCCACTTCCCTTGGTGATGCAGCTGACACAGGGACGACTCACCAGCCCGGCTCCTCAGTGCCCCAGGTCTCATCAACAGTGACCTCTCTCCTACCATCTCCTGGGCGGTCCCCTGCAGCAACTCCTCTCTGTCCAGCACCCTGGCTCCCTGGCCTCCCCCAGTCCTGGCCCCACCTCTCCATCAGGGCCCCTGTGGCTTCCCTTCCTGCCACCTAGTCTGACACCCAGGATCATGCATTACCCCATTCGTCTAAATATGCCCAACTCATCAACCTTCTCCCCCCCGACACACTCTCCCCCTGTCCTCCACCCCCTGCAAACCCCTCGTTCACCCGCCCCCCAGCCAGGCTGCTCACCTGGCTGACAACCACTCACCCACTCAGGTGCTCAAACCCCAAGTGCGATTGTTCTGGGTCCCTGCCCCGCCCGCGCCTTCCATATCCAATCCGGTGACACTTGTGTAGAGTCCAGATGGAGCCACCCCCCTCATTCAGACCTCGGCCAGCTCACGTGGGACTTCCCAATGGTTTCCCATTTTCAATCTCTCAGCGCCCTCCCCACCCGGAAACTAACCCTACACAACCAGAGTAACCGCCTTGCTGCTCAGGAGTCCCCTCTCGTGACCCCCAAGGCTCTGGTGACCACCATTGGGTGCCCCAGCCCTTCCTCTCACTCCACTCTCCTGCTCCCCCACTGAGCCCTGGGCCTGGAGCACCCCAAGTCCTGTGGCCTCAGGGCGTTTGCGCCTGCTACACCCCCGCCCCCCACCCCCCTCTTTCTAGGATGGCCGCCTCCCTGCTTGCGAAAGCTCTGGCTTCCTTTGCTCCCTCAGGTCCCAGAGTAAATGGCCCCTCCTCCTGGCAGCTGCAGTGAGTGGGTCCTCCCTGGATCAGCTGCCCTCCCCCCAGGGCAGGCCTCTGGGTGCCTTGGCCACTAGCCCTGTGCACAGTGCCTGGCGCCCTGCAGCTGCCCCGCATACGTGACTGGGCTGGAGGAATAAACGCACAACGCGCATGTTTCCTGTGCATCCTGCTGCCCTCCTGTCCCTCTATCTCACAGCAGCATCCAGGTTCCTAACGTCCCAAATGCACCCGGGCTGCCGTCTCAGGGCCTCGGCGCATTGCCCCTTATCCTCCTCCCCTTCCCCCTTCCCCGCAGCAGTGCTCTCTCACCCCATCTCAGATGAGACAGGAAAGAAAGCCAACTTGGAGGGATCTGGTCTCATCCTTGCCATAAGAAGGCCTAATGAGAGACAAAGTCACCCTCCCTCAGCCCTTCAGAGCCCCGAGCCCCCTGCCTCCAGCCCCCACCCCCACTCCGCCCGCCCCGCCCGCTCACCTGCTTGTGCGGGTACACGTTGATGTGGCACTTGATGCACTCCTGCCCCATGTTGGCCCAGGAGTTCCCGCTCATCCATTTTCTCTTGCACTTGGGACACTTGTACTCGCCGAAGCAGCGCTTTTTGCCCTGGTATGGGGTCAGACCCTCGCCTTTGGGGCGTGCCTGCAGGACAGGAAGCAAACACAGGGGGTTGGGGTCCACCAGGCCAAAATGCTGCCCCTTGGGGTCCCCCTCTTCAGCTCTTATACCCTGTGTCCCCATGTGCAAGCATTCTGTCCCCAGTCCCAAGAACACCAGGGTCACCCCAGAGCACACACGGGAATCCAAGGCTGGGGGCAGAGGACAGAGGACAGAGGGGGGGGGGCGCACATCTTTTTCAGTTAAGGGAGCGAAGTCCTTGGTGGTGCTAGGAGTCATTTCTTTAGCTCAGCTGTCAGGCGCGTGAACCCGAACACAGGTGCTCGTTGGCCCACTGTGTGTGGTTTAATGGTTACTGACAAGGCAACATGGGCACCGCAGCTCCGTACACATGCAGTGCCTCACCTCCGCTCCCCGCCACCCTCTCCCCGACCTGGAGGCTCACCACCCCGAAGACACACTCCACATTTACAAACATATGCAACGTATGTGCACACACGCTTTCTTCCCCTCGCTCGCTTAGAGACATTATACTGGTTCTGCCTCTTTCTTTTTTTTCCTTAATAATGTATCTTGGACATATTATTGTAAGATATACACAGGATGTCCCCAAAAAGGTATGCACACTTAACAACTAATAACTCAATTGATTTTTCTTTCTTTTCAGATTTAACCCATTGGAATTACTAATTATTCAAAGTGTGTATACCTTTTGGGGGACACCCTATATCTAATCAAGTACCTTTCCCCACATGAGGACAAACAGAGCTACTGTTTTCTAACAGTTGCCCCGTATTCGCACACTTGCAGTTCCAGTACAGTCACAGAGCATCTGGGTGGTTTCCACTCTTCCGCTATTACAAACAACGCTCCAGTGAATAATGTGCATGCGTGTGCGTGTGCGTGTGCGCGTGTGTGTGTACAAAGAGAGAGGACATTTGCGGAATAAATTCCTAGAAATAGAAGTGGACGTGCACTTTTAAGTTTTAAAGGTAATGACAAATTGCCACTGCCTTCCCCTGCGTGTCCGACTTCACCTCCTCACCAACAGTCTTCATCGTTGCTGACATGAGAGGCAACCTTCTCAGAGCAGCTTTGACTCGTATGTCTTCTATGAGGAGCAAGAGAGATGTTCCCCAGGCATTTAAGAACCAGCTGCAAACTTTTAGTTTGAATCCTTTGTAAATCTTTTCCCTGCTGGGGTTTGGTATTTTTCTTGGTGATTTGTAACTGCACTTTATATGTTAAGGAAACTAGCTTTTCCTACATGGCATTTTAAAAAATAGCTTTATTGAGACATGATTCTACATTTTACCTATTTAAGGTGTACAAGTCAATGTTTTGTGGTATCGTCACAGTTATACAACCATCACTACAATCTAATTTTAGAACATTTTTTTCACCCCCAAAGGAAACCCTGTACCCATTAACAGTCACTCCCCATCCTACCCCCACCTCCTCACCACTCAGGCCTAGGCAACCCCTAATCTACTCTCTGACTCTAAAGAGTTCCCTATTCTAAATATTTCATGTAAGTGGGATCATGCAATAATGGTCCTTTTGGGTCTGACTTCTTTTACTTAGTGTAATGATCTTAAGGTCCATCCATATTGTGGCATGTGTCAGTACTTCATTCATTTTGTTACTGAAAAATAGTCCATTGTATGGGCATGCCATGTTTTATGTGCACTCATTCATCAGATGATAGGCACGGAGTTGCTTCCAGTTCTCTGCTGTTGTGAGTAATGTTGTTGTGAACTCTCATGTACAAGCTGCTTAGTGCTTTATAAAGTTGAATTCGTTGCCCCAATATTTAAAAATGAGAGACTGCACACAGACATATGACCACACTGGTCTAGAATGCTTATGGCGTCTATCAGCTGAAGTTGCGAAGTGGCCACCCCATCAGACCGACGCCAACTGCACTGTGTCACCTCCGTGGCACGTGCAGGCTCGGAGCCTGAGACGGGCTTTCACACAGGCCTTGCACTGTGACCACACACCTGTCCCCTGTCCCTCCTGGACTGGCCTGAGCAGCACTCCTAGGAGCTCCTTAGAAATGCAAAACTGCAGGCCCCACCTCAGATCCACAGACTCAGAATCTGCATTTCAACACGAGGCCCAGGGGGTTCCCATGCCATAGAGTTTAAGAAGCACTGAGCTATGAGATGATTTGTCTCCATAGTAACGTTTGCCTGGGTAACTGCCTGTTTATGAGGTTGTGCACCAGGTTAAGAGCACAGACTCCGGATCCAAATCCAGCTCCGTGCTCCTGAGCAGGTCACTTCACAAGGACGACAGGAGCTACCACAGAAGTGCGCTCTCAGGACTACATGAGCTAATACACGTAAAACACTTAGAACTGCAGACCACTCGGCCTCTGTGTGCCTCGGCGTCTTCATGTGGAAACCCAGGTGATGATGGGCCTGCCCGGGGCTGTTGGAAGAATGGCTGCTTTTGTGCACATGAACGTCTTAGCTCGGTGGCTGGACACTGCAAGTCCCTTCGGCGATTTAGTGTGATTCTCTCCTGGGCCTATCCAGGGAGAGGGAGCAGGCTCCGTCCAGGAGAAGGGAGGCTAGGGCTGAGACCAACGGGTGTGAAACGTAAGAGGAAAGTTCCCAGGGTGGGGGGAGGCCCGGGTAGAGGTGGGCTTGCTACCCCTGGGCTGTGGGGAAGCGAAAAAGGAGCAGCATTAGGTGCCTTCCCCTCTGGAATTCAGGCCGGGACCCAGACTGAGGAGGCTGCGGAGGGCAGAGGGGAAGGAGAAGAGAACAGACATTTACGAAGCACTGTGTGTGCTGGCTTTGCGCTCAGGGCTCTGCATCCTGCAGGCCCCCATTCATCTCTCCTCATAATCCTGTGGGGCAGGGGATATCACCAACCCATTTACCAGATGGCAAAACTGAGGCCGGGGAAGGAACAGGACTTGCCAAAGAGTTTCCAGTGTGAGAAGAAGGAGGTGAGGCCCAGTCTTGGCTCACCTTTCCCATGCGTGTCCCCATTATAAAGCTGGGGCCTGTGCTCAGGAGGAGAAATCTGCCAGGCCCCGGGGCCCCCAGCACAGCCGGCCAGTGGCTCTGCCCTCCTGCAGGTCAGAGGAGAGACGCGGCCTGGCGAGCAGGGGTGATGCCTCCTGGAAGGGCTCAGTCCCAATGTGGTTTATGCCTAAAGATGAGGGTAGGGCCAAAGGGAGCAGGACTTTTTGACAGAACAAAGGCTTCTCTACCCCCCACACGATCCCTCGGCCTCTTCTCGTAAACTTCGCATGAAACAGCCGGTTATGCTGACGGCTCTGCAGGGGCCGCCACCGCCTCAGCCGGGAAGGGTGCCAGGTCCAACCAGGCTCTCCTGACCCGGGCCCCTGCCACGTCCCCTCCGGGGAATCAGATCTGCCAGGAGCCTGGGCAAAGCTCTCTGGGGCTCAGAAACCACCGCTTCAGGCACAGACGGGCCCTCTGGAGACCAGAGAATCAAGGGTCTTGCTCAAGGACACACAGAAGACCGGGGACTGAGCTGGGACGAGGGACTGGGTCCCCCTGACCTCCGAAGCTGGGGTGGAATTGCCGTGGGGGGCAGCCTGGGAAGTGGGCGGTGGCGGCCGGCGTGGGAGTAGGAGGAGGCCCTGTGCCAGGAGCAGTGAAAGCGGGGCTGGGTGGGGGTGGGAGAGCCGTCCAGGCGGCCAGCGTCTTGGGAAGAGACACAGATGATGCTGACACTATTTGGGCACTTCTTCGGTTTTCTTTCCACCAACTCATGAGATTTCTGGCCGTTGGCCATAAGATGGTGCACTCCCTGTCCCTGGGGATAGGTAAGCAGAAGCTGGGTGAACAGCTAGCTACCAGGAAAGTTGCCAAGGGGACTTATGACCTGGTCAGGCAGTCGGGCCGAGTAACTCTGAGGGCATCTCCAGCTCTGCAGTCCTTCCTCCTCTTGTGAAGGGCCACCGGGCAGGTGTGAGAGGGGCACGCGCAGACGCTGCTGGGCTGAGGGCTGAATAGGTGTGTTTCCTACTGTATTTTCATCGTGCAACTTGGCAGTAAGCCTTCCAATGTGAAAAAAAAAAAAAGTCCATTCCTTCCCCTCAGCAAATCCAGGCCTGAGCGACCATCCTAACTGTGACCAGAGTTGTGGACCAGAGTCCTGTTCTGGGATGTTCATCATTGTTTATGACAGTGAACAACTGGAACAAGCTAAGCATCCAACACGATGTCACACCCATTGGATGAGTGACAACAGAGCCACTAAAATATTTATGAGGATTTTTTAAGGGTTTGGGAAAATGCTTATAAGAAAGCAGGATAAATGATCACATATCGACTGCTTTCAGGGCGAAACTGTAAAAAGGAAAACGAGAAGAGAAGGGCTGGCGGGAAATCAGCCTCCAGGAGTCAGCGTGCTCTGCTCTGTCGTCAACGCGTAGGTATACCTTCGACGAAGATAGTTCGTCAGCGGACTCCCTGGCCTGCAGGCTCTGCCTGCCCACAAGGGGGCGCCCTGCACTTTCCCAACAGAGATGGTGGCTCTTTCCTGCTTTGCCCCTGCAGGTGTGGACACTGGGGCCTGGGTTCAGGGCACTGGTGACCTCTGGCTGCTGGTTCTGTTGGACTCTGCTCGGGTCCAAAGAGCTGCCCTCCCGCCATTCATGGAGTGGACTTCCTACTCCTGGATCCCATCTGCTCCCTGGGTTTGAGGACAGCCAGAGAAGTATCCACACCTGTCACAGGACACAAGAGCCCAGCTGGTCACTCTGCCCATTAGCGTCCCTGCCCTGCTTCCCAAAGTCCCACCAGGAGTGAGCCAGCCTTTAGGGTGAAGCAAGTTAGAGGGAGTCCCTTTTGAGGGGAGATGACTCAGCTGTGGCAGCGTGAGGCCGAGCAGCCCAGGGACCCTGGGCTCAGGAGGTGGCCGCACCGCGGGGTTGCTGAAGACTTGTGGCTACGCCCTGCACGGCACGACCCCAGGCCGGTTCCACCCCAGGACACACAGGGTCTGCTCTCAGGGTACCGTCCCGGCTGTGGGCC